AGTATTCGGTTAGCTGTAAGGATAGCCTCCCCCCACAAACTCTGCAGTAATATGAAACTTATTAATAAAGAATTCATCATTTTCTTTAATGTCCGATTTTTCCTTTCCGCAATTCCATTGGATTGAGGTTTGTAGGGGACAGTAGTTTGATGGATAATTCCATATTCCAAACATATTTATGCAAACGCAGATTCATATTCTCCACCCCTATCACTTCTAATTATTTTGATCTTTTTATTTAATTGATTCTCCACTTCATTCTTGTATTGCTTAAATACTTCAATTGCTTCATCCTTACTATTAAGCAAATAAACATAACAATATCGAGTACAATCATCAATAAAAGTTATAAAATACTATTTTCCATCTCGAGATGGTGTCGACTTCATATCACAAATGTCAGTATGAATTAAGTCTATAGGATTTGAATTCCTTTCAACAGACTTATAAGGATGTTTTACAAACATAGATTCAACACATATTTTATATTTTGATTTATTACACTCGAATTTAGGCAATACTTCTAAATTAATTAACTTCTGCAAGGTTTTGTAATTGACATGTCCTAAACGAATATGCCATAAATCATTTGACACCAATAAATAAGAAGAAGCTGAAATTTTATTAATACTGTCAACAACCATTACATTGAGTTTGAAAAGGCCCTCTGTGATGTAGCCCTTTCCAACATACATTTCATTCTTGCTTACAACAACTTTGTCAGATACAAATACGCATTTGAATCCATTCTTAACTTGTAAAGAAGTTGAAACTAAATTCTTCCTAATAGTAGGAACATGAAGAACATTGTTGAGCGTTAACACCTTGCCGGAAGTCATCTTCAGGAATATCTTCCCATAACCCTCAATCTTGGTTGTTGCAGCATTTCCCATGGAAAGCACTTCTTCGAGACCAGCAGTAGAGTAAGTCGCAAATGCTTCTTTCACAGAACAAACATGTCGAGTGGCTCCAGAGTCAATCCATCACTCCTTCGGATTTCCAACTAGGTTGCATTCCGAAAGCATTGCACACAGATCATCGATGTCATCATTCTTCTCCACTATGTTGGCTTGTCCCTTTTTCCTATCCTTTTTCGGGAGACGACAATCAGGGGCTTTGTAACCAGCTTTTCCACAATTGTAGAAGTTGCCCTTGAATTTCTTCTTATTCTACTCCTTAGTCTGTCCAGAAGACCTCCTCCTCTTCTTACTTTTTGGAGCAGTCTCCTCAACGATATTAGCTCCCATATTTGTTGAATTTTCATGAGACTTCTTCTCGACTGTTTTGTTGTCTTCCTCAATCTTGAGACGAATCACAAGATCTTCCAACTTCATTTCTTTGCACTTGTGCTTAAGATAGTTTTTGAAATCTTTACACGAAGGAGGCAATTTTTCAATCATTGCAGCCACTTGAAAAGCTTCATTCACTACCATACCTTCAGCAATAAGGTCGTGAAAAATAAGTTGAAGCTCTTGAACTTGGGTTCCTACAGTTTTGTTGTCTATCATTTTATAGTCTAGAAACTTGGCAACCACAAACTTTTTTAAGCATGCATCTTTAGTCTTGTACTTCTTCTCAAGTGCGTCCCATAATTCTTTCAAAGTTTTCATAAAACTGTAGACATTTTACAAGTCATCCTTCAAAGCACGTGGGATGTATCCTTTGCAAAGAAAGTCTGCATGTTTCTACGCTTCAACAATCATAAACTTCTTATTGTCCGACATGTCAGCGGTACGCACTGGAGGGTCTTTACTGGTGAACTTCTGCATACCAATCATGGTAAGCCAGAAAAATACCCTTTGTTACCATCCTTTGAAGTTGGTTCCAGAAAATTTCTCCGGTTTCTCGGCCGGTGGCACAGCAGTTCGACTTGATGAGGCTATCGTCGTTGCCACAACAATCGCAGAACGATTTCCATTATCAATTGCCATTTCTCACTGTCAACAACAGAAGATTCCAATTAATGGCAAAAAATAGAACAGTAAACAATACTGTAATTAATGATAAACAATACGTTTAATAAATAAAAATCGAAATTTTTATATATTGTTTCATAGTAAACGATGAAGTTTTTATATCTTCAAATCAAAATAGAAAAATTCAGAAGGAGTAGAAAACCACACAGGTTTTAATCTCCAAAAATAGAATACAGATTATAATTTAAAAACTAATTTCCTTAAGATTGTTAGTCAATCTGTATTACTATAATAAATAATGAAATAGTAAACTTTCTTAAACAGAAAGTTAGCAGCAACAGAATATCGAAATAATATCTGAAAATAATTTTGGAATAAATCGAGCCCACTGAATGCACAGTGTGACCTTAAGAAAATTATTTTCCTCAAGTACCCGAGGTGCTGGAATATTATCCTCCCAGAATAGAACGATTTAGCTCACCAGTGTATTGGTACCAAAAACTCTGATGAACTGCGAACCACTCAATGGTTGTAAAACACACTCGAATTTTTTTGTGCAGAAGAAGAAGAAGAAGATTAGAAAATTTTGGAAGGAAAGATTCTGGGATCAAGCCATATTTATAGCCATTTTCTGGCACTGTTTCTGAAAATGTTTGCAACCTTTCAGAAACAACCATGGTTGTTGGAACAGGTGGGAACATTTCACGTTTGAAATATTCTGGGAAAAAGGATTTAAATAATCCGGGAAAGAACCGGAATGGGTCGGGTTGCGGGTCCTGTGTTATTCCGGGTTGAATTTTCGTTAATTAATTAAATAATTGAAAAATATTTTGTCCAAAAAGATTAATCAATCAATCTTTGACCAAATCCGAAGCTCAAAAGCGAGCGACGACGGCGCTAGGCCTACTTTTTTCAACTCATTTAACACCAAGAGAAGTGTTTTCTCAATATAAGCACATTCACTTTTTTTCCATCATCAATGAGGGACACTTTGCTCTTTTCAAAGTAAAAGGGAGTTCACTTTCCCTTTATTTCCCATTCACCAATCTTTTAATTCCAACACTATGGATAGAGTTGGTGAGGTTAGCTAGCTTGCACATATCGAGGGCGATCCAGCAGTTGAGCATTAATTCCAGCTTGTTCAGTCTTATCCAGCTTAAGTGAGCCACCACCAGTCCTGGAGGTTATTTCAGTTTCTATCTTTTTATTCAGTATAATTATGTATTCGGGCTATGCCCAGAGAGATGTACTAGTACTTTAAAGTTTGCTCCATGACATAGTCTCTTTTGCATTTAATGGGATGTTATACCTAGACTGTTGTATTTCCGCATTTATTAGCATGAGACATCTTTATTATTACCTTCATCATGTTCATTTCATATTATCAGTATGTTCAGCTTACTAGTTTCACCTAACGGGGGTAATGGCTTGTTGGATGCCCTATTGCGGTCTAGATACTAGATTTGGATCGTGACATGCTCGATCAAATCCATCGGTTTTTAAAGAGTCATTGACTCAGCTAAGTCTCGTTGAAAAGCCGGAGGAGATATTGTTTCATAAGCATCAAACGTTAAAGGGTTAAACTGAACTTTACTCCAATTAAAGATGAAGTGCCAATCAACATAGTGCAAAATGCAAAATTCATTAAATGAATACATAGTAGTTCGTTTTAAACACACACATACGCATACAATATATAGAATAAGACGAAAAATAGCAAACAGCAGTAAAGAGTTTAGCTAGCGTTCAATTACTAGCTAGTACATTTCAGTTGCAAAAGCATTGAAGCGAAAATTATTGCAATTACACTAAACAAATCCATAAAAACAACAAGTTTGATAGAGTTCACTGCAGATTGATGTCGACAACCTAGACAAATTTGTTGTAGTACTCGTCGACGGTTGTGTATTTCACTTTCGGATATAGCTCAGTGGCTTCGACACCTGTAGAAGGTTGAATCTCAAAGTTTGCAGAATCTCCATTAACAAAAACTGAATGGCATATGGCCAAATTGACTCTTAACGGCATAGGTCCCTCTGTGAAACAAGTTAAGATGGATTTTATCAGCACAAGTATTAGAGAGATATAGAATGTAGAAATAGTGGCAGATAAAGCCTTTGGTTTGTACCATATTTGAAAAATATATAATATTACAAAAACTCATTCCTTATCGTTTCAATTTATATTGTAATGTAATATTTGACTGAACAGTGATTTAAGAAAAAGAAAAACTTGGGTTTTTTTTAACAATGTACGTATTAAGAGGTGCTTGTTATGTTACCTTGTACAATGTGGAGAATATCTTCCTCTGATAGATATAACTTCTCGAGGGTCTTCCCAATTTTCTCCTCCCACAAGGACACTATCTCGTTGAAGGATAGGATATTGGCAGGTGGTCTCATGTGAAGAGTCTTATTCAATGTCCGTGGATCATCTACTGCTTTCATAGTGTATGTTGCTATGTCTTCTTCCTTCACATATATTGCTAATTACATTGTGAAATAGAATGAATGAACTCGTCAGCCTCACTATTAGAGTAGTTAATTTTCATTTAAATACAAATCAGATTTTTATCTATTCGATGTCATCAAAACACAGAGGGCTTTAGATTAAGTCAGTACCTTTGGGATTTCCATCGCCAAAAATGACAACTTTGTCTCTAGGAGGGGTTTTGGCCTCTAACTGCCCCAAGTTGGGCAAGAAGAAATCTGCAAACCAATTGCAGATTACATATGTGTATGGAATTCCTTCTGCCTCTATCATCCTCCTAATTTTTACCTTGAGAGCGAAGAGTGATGCAGCTGGCTCAATTGCATGGGCATGATCCACATCGAATCCAAATTCTGAAGGAAGAAATCTCTGCAACTCACAAATGATTTTTGCTATTAAAACAAACTTCATATGTAGAAAGTTGGTTTAGAATATATATGATCATGCACATTTTAATTATTTTTTATATATATAAACATAGTTTGAACCAAAAGCAACATGTTCATTTGATTCATAGAACCTGTCCTAAATTTGTCTCTTTCGTATGGTATATATTTATATCAAGAAGCTATTTCCTTGCCTTGATATTTCCAGCTTCTTTAATTGCTTTGATGATGTTCACTTGATCAGCAAATTGCTGTCCTCCGACAGTGGAAATCACCACATCAACTTGCTTGATTGCCTTGAGTAAGCTTTCTTGATTGGATATATCTCCCTAGTTATCAGCAAGTTAGAATATCAGAATAAAAGTATTAACGTCACATAAAAAATATAATATGTCACGTAAAAGATAATCGCATGTAACTTTCTATTATAAATAGTAGAATTAATAATCTAGAATATACGATAAGTTACTTATTAGTATAACAAGTTATATTGTCGATGTATATAATTTAAATTTTAAAATACAAAAAAGATATTGCAGAAAAAGAGTAGTTTGTGAGTACATACAAAAAGTAGCGTAACCCCATAACTCTTGAATGTGTCGATGAGTTTTGATTTCTCGGGGTTTACGAGTGTGCTTTCTCTGATAAGAACGAAAGTTGGATGCCCAGATTTTGCACTTGTCTCCACCAAGTATTTTCCTATGTAGCCTGTGCCTCCAATTATTAAGATCTTGCTTTTCTCTGATACAACCATTTTACTCCTTGGAGAAGAAAAAAAGTAGCTTCGGGTTAAGGTGGAGGGGCTAGAAACTAGAAATTAAATCGGATTTGGTATGAAATGCTGTAGAGAATCTGATATTAACGCGGGTACTTATAGGCAAATTCAGCTAGGGAATTTTGCACAATTAGCCTAACACAAGGAATTACGATATCATAACATTAATAAATTTATGATGATCTGTCCTAGTATGTTCATCCATTCCACGATTATAGTACTTAATTTGCGTCTAAATGTGTCATTACCTACTAGATGAGCATGTAAGAAAATAATTGAAAAATATATTATATAGCGAGCCGCATATAAGGGGAGGGNATATATATATATATATATATATAAGAGTTTAATTAGTTACACGGTTAGCGTAAAGTATTTTGTACACTATCAAGTCACATTTACCTACATAACAGGTAACATACTTTATTTTAAGATTACAAACCTTACTTTTTATAGAAGCTTATTTGTAAATACTCTTTGGGCGATTTTGTAAATTCTTTTTACAATATATAACTTTGATTTTCCAATCTCATGAAATAAACAAAGTTTTTAGAGTAGGGGATAGTGGTTCAAAAATAATACGTAACAATTGATTTTAAATATTTTATCTTGCTGGAAGGTGGTGCTAATATAAAGAATTATATATTGACATAATATAACGAAATGATAGTTTGTCCTATTTGTTTTAATATTAAATATTTATCTCGTGCTGCCAAAGTGGTGCTAGTGTAGAAAATCGAATCTCGTCAAAATATATAGAACTACATTTTGTCATTTTGTTGTTGTATCAAAGAACTAATTATTAAGAATTATATATTGCCATAATATAGAGAAATAATGCTTTGTCATATTTGTTTTAGTATTAAATATTTATCTCTTGCTGCCAAAGTGGTGCTAGTATAAAAAATGGAATCTTGTCATAAAGTGGTGCTAGTATAAAAAATGGAATCTTGTCATAATATAAAGAATTACATTTTGTCATATGGTGTTGTATTAAAGAACTAATTATTAGAGTATTTTTATATTTTTATCTTTCTGTCAAAGTGGGTCTAATATTTCGATCCAATGTTCCCACCTATTGAATTCAGAGGAATCAGATACCGATAAGAGCAAAAGCAAAAACTTGTTGCACTTTTCTTACGTGTAGAGAACAACATTCAGTTTATTTTAAAGAAATTTAATTTTGAAAAGATCTTCATTCTCTTTTTCTTTTTATATTTTATTGCTATTTACTGTAATAAAGATAATACAGGACGGAAATGTTGAATTCGGTTTGTTATTTATTTAATCCAGTCTTCTCACCTACTACATTTAAATAGTAATAAGAAAACAATAAAATAAAAACTTGTTATTTATTCTTTCACGTGCATGAAACATGAGAGTTAGATCTAGATTTAGCCCTGACGAATCAATTGAAAGGAACATAATTGAGGAGGCATGTTACTTACCTAAAATATTAAATAATATAATAAAGTGATTGCGTTAGATATAATAATACTTATTTCATGCAATATGAAAATAGGGCCGTATGAGAGAAATCTGGGACTAGAATTTAAATTAAGTGGCAGCGAAATTACTAAAAGCATTAAAAAAGGAACAGTGACTTTTAAAAGTTTTACATTACTTGTATATAAAAATATCATTTTCTGTTAATATTTTTTTGAAGCAAATCAATGAATTAATCAGTTTCAGATACTTACAAGTTTTAACTTGCGTAAGTATACCATTGAAGCCACTACTTAAATTATCAGTAGTTGAGGATAAATTTATAATTTTCACAGTTTAAAAATCCTCTTATTATGCAAGAAATATTTGTGTAATTAACCATAGTCGTTATCTCTTGGTGAAAACTCGTATTTTTTTCAACAGCCATAATAGTACAATTATATGTTATAATTAGCACCTCTTGTTGGTGGATCCGATACATTAGCAAATTTTCAATATATTTAGTGTGGAAACCCAACCCCTCATTTTGAGTATATGCGTTTTATATCATGCTTTGATACCTTGGATAGGTTGATATTATTTTTGGTACTTGTTGGAATAGTTCGGGTTGGAACGAGACTCGAGTGAGTTTCGGCACGTTTTTTAGCTTAAGACAATGTTATTGCAAATCTGATGTGCTTAAGACAATGTTATTGCAAATCTGATGTTGGTTCATCGCAATCGCAGTCACCAGGTTACAATTGCGAATAGTTGTATCACCTCTGCTAAACTTGCCCTAGTAACATGCCACTCTAAGAATATAAAATTACCTCATTGAGAAAGCGAGGCTAGTCAAATTATAATATAATTAAAATAAAAGTATTTCAAGTATCGAACCTACAGGGATAAAGATGTAAACTTACCTATTTCCTAAAACTAAGCATAGTAGAAAAATATGCAACAAGTAAGGCATGAAGCTGAGGCCTAACAAACTACCTCAGGCACGGATAAATTTTGGCATCCATATATATGCTCGTCACCTAGCATATACGTTACCCCAAATACGTAACACGTACCAACATTCTCATTGTAGAAAAATTTTCTCAAGTCAAAGTTAAACAAGATACTTACCTTTTTCAAACAAGCTTCTATCTTCAAGAACACCTTTATCTAGCTGTGTGGCCTCCAAACATCCACAATTTAGCCAAAGAATGTTTAACAAGGTCAAATATAGCCATGTCTCATTTTCATAAGCAAATAATAGGGCTAGGTCAAAGTAAACAAAAGCTAACGGAAGCCCACATGGTCAAACCCCAAAACGAGAGTCTAATCTTGGTTAATCATAACCTTGTGAGTCCACATATGTAGTTTATTTCTAAATCTGAATTTAAATCGATGTTCAAAACCTCAAAATTTAATTTCTTAAGTTTTAATTCAAAATTCTCTCTTCCCTCTTTGAAATCCTTGATTCTAAGGAAAAATCAAAGATAAATTTATATAATAATCATAGATTCAAGTTATAATTACTTACCCTAATGAAATAGATTAAAAATTCCTCAAATATCATCTCAATTCGAGCCTTCTAACTCCCAAAATGGTAAAATAAACTCTAAGTATGAAAAGTAGCTATAAATAAAAGTGTTGAAAGATGGCTAAAATTACATATACACTACTAGAAAACTGCCTAAAATCGTCCAGAAATACCGACCGAAATCGGTCGAAAAATTAAAAAAACCGACAGATTTTCGATCAACTTTAATCCGTCGAAATTTAGTTGGTCAGTAAAAAATAGCGACCAAAATCAGTCGCAATTTTCGACCGATTTCGGTCAGTAAATTAATTTTCACAAACGACCCAAAAAGAAAAAACTGCCGAAACAACCGACCGAAGTCGGTCGGTATTTTTAATTATGCAATTACAAAATGCACCGTCTAGGACTCGAACCAGGTTCTGTACTATGGCAGGATACTATTCTACCACTAGACTATTGGTACATTTTGATTTATGACTTTCTTTTAATTTATTTGTACTCTTTAATTGTATTTTCGCGCGAAAATAACTAACCGATTTCGGTCAGTTTTATTTAAAATATAAAATTTTCGACCAAAATCGATCGGATTTTAAAAATGACTTACTGAAATAACCGACCGAAATCGGTCGGTTTTTTTAATATTAATTTTAATTTATTTTATATGAAAAAATTACCCATTTCGGTCGGTTTCGTAAAAAATAACTTTCGTGGGATGCTAAAATAGTTTCCCGCATTTTTGCGCCAAAAAAAAAAACCCGACCAAAGTCGATCGGTTTTGGCCGAATTTCTAGTAGTGATATTTTATTGTTGGATTTTTCCTTAAAACCCTTTCCAAACATCCTCAAACTCACTCGAGCCTCTGGGAACCCTTTCAAACCATCAAAACAAGTCCTAATAGCCTATATGGACTTATCCAAAGGCTTGAAATACAAAGCAAAACGCCAACTAAAATCAACTTAAGAATCTAAAACTTTCAATTTGGATGCAATAGTGCTGAAATGCACCGAGCCCCTCAGGTCCTAATCAGAACGTACATACAAGTCCAAAATCATCATACGAACCTATTAGAAGCTTCAAACAAAATTTTAGCTCATTTACTCAAATTGTTAACCTTGGTCAATTCTATGAACTTTAAAGATTCAAGTTAAAAATCATGTCTCTCAAAATACCTTAGAATTCTTTTGGACCCAAACCACTCATATCTGCAAGTAACAAATTATTAAATGAATCACGGATAGTCTCAAACAAGGAACGAGGTACTAGAACTCAAAATGACTAATTGTGTCGTTACAAGATTCGAGTTAGAATCACTTACTCCATTGCCGTAGATATTAATCTTTCTCAAAATCTCCTAAACTCAAGCTCCCAAGCTCCAAAAATAGTAAAGAATGGACTAAAAAGAGGAGCTATTTATACCAATAGAGAAACAATTTCACTACACAAAGGCAGGCATGCCGCCCCCCTGGGCTGCACCTAGCTTAGGCACGATAGTCAGAGAGTCGCTGCCGAAATTTAGGTGCGATGCCCAGTGCAATACGGCCTTCTTTCATCTAGTGTAGCTTTCCTGATTTGTGTCTACCCCCAT